CACATGCCACTCCATCCAGGAAAAACACACCTGGGCAGAGGAGCTACCAGACAGGACCCATGTCAGAGGATAAGAAAGCACATACACATCACAGTAAGACAAACTACACAGAAAAACAGGCCAAGCTCCAACATCTATAAGCAAATGTGTTGTGCAGCAGCACAGCTGATATTTCTATACAGGATGATGTCACAGCAAACCAGGGACACACCCGATGAAGCTATGATGAGAAAAAGCAGATAGCATAAAGTCAGAGGTTGAACTAATTAATATAGCAGAATGGGATAATAGAGATATTCTGTAAAAGTTTTTAAAAGAAAAAACAATCCACTGGACTTGGTTTCCAAGGTTTGAAGACGTTTGGCTTCCCCTCCAGGAAGCTTTCTCAATACAAATGTCTGGATCCACAGTGAGTTTGAGTCTTTATATGGACAAGGCCTTGTATTGCTTGGAAACATGCAAATTGAAACCGACGAGCAGGTCGTTTGATTCCATTGTTAGCCTGTAATATCTGAAAGCTGTCTATGATTGTTAAGGGTCGCTCATTAAAGGAGGTTTTGTTTACCTGTCAGGAGGTACTTTGTTCCTCTGTGATGGGGAGGGGGGTGCGGTGATATCTAGAAAGGATCATTTCTATAACTGATTTGTAAGTTTTTAAAGGAATAGTACACCCAAAACATGATTAGCCTTCATTTTCTACTCACCCCCATGCTGAACAACACTCTGGAGTACTTTTTTGATATCTCAAATGCATCTGGAGATCTGGGAGGCTTCTTGCTGTCTGCTGACATTCAAACAATGGAGGTCTTTGGTGCCCGAGGCAGAAAGGTCCATAAAAGTCCACAAAAAACGTGTCAATATTCCTCCATACTGCTCGTCCAATGTATTCCAAGTGTCCTGAGTGGGTAGCATCCAGAATTTACTCGAAACGAAGTCATTTAAAAATGTTTTTAGAGCATAAACAGTAGTGTATAGGATTTCCTGAAAGCGCGCACATGCGCGTTCACGACGCTACGGAAGCCGGCAGACCAAACCAGCGCATTCAGCTCGGTAAAGAACTCATGCTCTTCCTCAACACTGAAGTCCTCAGACATTTTTCTTTCGTTGTTTCTTTCTTTGCACAGGTAAACAGCACATTTCTTCTTCTACGCTTGCATTATTGGCAGAGCAGACGCTGAATGCGCACTTTCATCTGGTTTGGTCTGTAATAAACACGTGGTAGATTAAATGACTAGTTTAAAGAAATCAAAAATAAAGAATAAAACAAAATAGAAAACAAAGGAATAAAACCATAAGAGTCCGTCTACTGACTTCTGAGATTGTCCAAAATATGCCAGATATTAATACATTCACTAATTCCGTTAGCAGCAGGTATGATGATAACAGTGCAATTAATCATATAAAATTAATACATCCAGCTTAAAAATTGGTAAATGATAAAAAATGTAGAAGTCGTTTAGCAAAACACATTAACAAACAGTGTACCTGTGTGTGAGAAAGGCATGTAAATAAATGAGGGACCCCCATTTTTCATGTGGTGAGAGGAACAAAGAAAGGGGGGGGGGCTGATCAGATTGGGCTTATATGCAGGGATAAGCATGACCGAGAGATGATCTGATGAACCGGGGTGGGGACGGGGGGGCTGCTCATTTCTGAAATTAAAAAAAGAGATCATATCTCTCCTATCCTGGCTTCTCTTCATTGGCTTCCTGTTAAATCCAGAATAGAATTTAAAATCCTCCTTCTCACATATAAAGCCTTAAATGGCCAAGCTCCATCTGATATCAGAGATCTGATTGTTCCTTATGTTCCTAACAGAGCACTTTGCTCTCAATCTGCAGGTTTACTAGTGGTTCCTAGAATTTCTAAAAATAGAATGGGAGGCAGATCTTTTAGTTATCAGGCTCCTCTCCTGTGGAACCAACTACCAGTTTTAGTCTGTGAGGCAGACACCCTGTCTACTTTTAAGGCTAGGCTTAAAACTTTCCTTTTTGATAAAGCTTATAGTTAGAGTGGCTCAGGTTATCCTGAGCTATCTCTATAGTTATGCTGCTATAGGCTTAGACTGCTGGAGGACATAGGGACCCCCATTTCATCATTCTGCTTCATTCTCTCTCTGTTCTCCTATTCTGCAGAATCTGTTAGTTCAATCTCTAATGTTCTGCTCTCTCTGCTTTTCCTCAGAGTAGCTTTGCCTCGTCTGTTCCTGTTTGGCTGTGACGTCATCCTGGAAAGAAATATCAGCTGTGCTGCTTCCATCAACACCCTTGTTTATAGATGCTGGAGATCGGCCTGTGTTCCAGTGTGCACTGCAAAAATGGTCTAGAAAGAAGTAAAAATGTCTTAATTCAAGTGTATTTACCCTTCATTTTAGTAGGTAAATGCGATAATTTGCCAATGGAATGAGTATTTTTACTCTTAAAATAAGATTATTAGATAATATTTACTTGAAATAAGACAATGAGGTTGCTTTTTCTTATTTTAAATATAAATTGTCTTGTTCCATTGGCAAAGCATCTCACTTACCTCCTCAATTCAAGAACAATTGCACTTAGTTTAAGAAAAAATGACTGATTTAGATTTCCATTTTTTGCAGTGTGGTCCTGTTTCTCTGACCGTGACTGGCTGGATGTGCTCTCTTCATCCTCTGGCATGGGAGCTGGCTGGGGAGCAAGTCTGCCTGGCTGTGTGTTTCCTGGACGGGGCCGCCTTTTACAGCTGCTTTTGTGTCTCTGCTTCTGTCTCCTTGAACCCCAGTCGGCCTCGGCAGATGGCCGCTCACACTGAGCCTGGTTCTGCAGGAGGTTTCTTCCTGTTAAAAGGGAGTTTTTCCTCTCCACTATCGCTACAAGCATGCTTAGTGTGAGGGATTGTATTTGAGTCAAGGAGTCAATGCAATCAACTGGTTTCCCTTAGATAGAAAACTTTGTATCAATTTGACTGTATGATCTGGTTGAACTGTACAGTGCCTTGAGATGGCTTGTGTTGTGAATTTGGCGCTATATAAATAAACTGAATTGATCTGTACCTTGTTTGGAAACCACTCTCTTCCCTACTCTGTGAACTCCTACCCTGGAAGCATCTCTTTTTTTGTGGACCTGGATCATGTTGTCTTTGTGACACGTTTTTATATCTAATTTTGGAAGGAGGAACTTGTTCCTTCATTTCTAAGCTTCGTGGTTTCAACTGAATCTGTAGAACCCTATTGTCCTCGGCAAACAGCAATTGGGCCCCACTATATTCCTTGGGTTATTAGACTTAGGTTACCAGAGCTGGATTAGCTCTCTCTCAGCTTCAGCAGGCAGTTTCAGCAAACACTGCATTCAATTTGGTTTGAAATGCAGGATATTGTAACATAGCCAATACAGTATAATCAGCTCCTTCTGAACACAGTAGAGTTTGTCTGACTAGGTCCAGCAAGCACAGGCCTCTCCGTAGGGATTTGGACGCCACTAAGCATAGCTTTCAGCTAGGAAGCACTTAGACTAGCCTTAGACTAGCCTAGCTGATGGCCTGTCTAAAGGCCATCAGCAAAAGGAAGTTGAAAGGGCAGTAGTTTGTTTTAAAACTCAGCCAGAGGGCTGTGCCTTCAGAGGGGAGCAGCTCTGGTTACATCGCTGACATTTGATCCCAACAATAGTCACAACTGTGCTTTATTTACTGAATTGTTTTTGTCCCCCAATATTTCAACATCTGTCTTCCTCCAACATCATCAGCTGAGTCCTTTAATTTGTCAATATCCCTGTCCCAGCTGCAAACCCATTTAATCTACATCAAATATTTACATTTTCAAATTGAATTATTGATTATTGATCAGTTGGTCTTTTTTCATCATCTGAGTCCTGCTCTGCTTCTGTGATGTATTTCTATTCTGAAATCAGACTCAGCTCTCACTCTGCTTCATGACACCATCAGCATCCAGGAAACCACAGACCACCATGCAGCATTCATGATCAAAGGAGATTTCAGCAGCTGCAGCTCAGACTGAACACACTGAAGACTTTCAGCAAGACGACGTCCCAACAGACAAGGAAACACACTGGGATAGATGAGAGCTTTCATACATGATGTCTGCAGAGCTTCCTTCAGACCGACTTTGGATCTTCAGAGATTCACATTTCTGATGGTTCTGCCAAGGATCCAGACAGGAGCTCAGAGCAGCTTCTCCAAGACAGTTCAGCTATGATCTGCTGAACATCAGCTCAGATTACAGGACTGTTCTGTTCTCATTCAGACACTTTTGAAATCTGCATCCAATCATGAAGAAGCAGCAAACTTGATTCCAGTTGATCCTGAGGACAACATGAAGATCTGAACTAACTCCCAGATCCAGTCCATGTGGACTAAAGTATTGGAGCGACCCACTGACTGACACCAACACCAGAACCATGCTGCTAGTGCGGCTAAAAGAAAAGAGAAGAAGAGACAGTCATGTTGATGTGAACATTAGAGAAACACATCATGGAGCTGAAATCTGATCCTGCTTCATCATTTGGACCGCTTCACCTCAGCTGACCCATTCAGCAGCAGACAGCTTTTCTAGCAGTCTTTCTCACTGTGTGGAGGATACTGGAACCACATCTTTGGTTCTGGAACCAAACTGGACGGAACAGGTAAGAACCAACATTTATTGTTTGATTGTAGAAGTTAAAATGTGTTTAAAGTCACTTTCTGCTGCTTCAGGATTTACATGTTAGTTTTTATCATTAGGAGAGAATTCATCATGAAAATATCAATAATTGATGGAAAACATGTTAAAAAGTCTCTGAACAACTTTAGAAAATAAATGTTGATATTTTTACAGATATTGGAGAATAATATCTGAAACCTTTCAGTAACTCTAACCCTGTAATATCTGCTAATATTGTTGATAAAAGTCTAATTACTGTAAAATATTCTTTATAGATTCACTAACTGCTAAACCTCAGTGTTACATGTAGCTGAGAGAGAAAAACTGAAAATAACCAGAGCAGAAAACAGCAGACAGGTTTTTGTAGCAGTCTTTCTCACTGTGAATGAATACCTCTTTGGATCTGGAACCAAGCTGGATGTAACACGTAAGAACCAACATTTATTGCTTTATTATTGAAATTAAAATGTGTTTAAAGTCAGTTCTGCTTCAGGATTCAGTTAAAAATGTTTTCTTTAATTCTAAATTTCTCTGAAAAACATGAGTTTTTAGCTAACGATCCAGATGCAAAAAATGTTTCAGTGTTTTATTATATCAATTGATTAGATATGTTAGCTCATGGAAAAAAATAAAGTGAATATAAATACTGCACAAAATTGAGTATATAAGTTTTAATTTTAATTGAAATCAAAGTAATGTTTACCATATAAAAAAGTGTAATTTGGATGTCTAGGTATTAAACTATAATCAGGAAAAGAACAGCTTGTCTTTTATCTAGTATAGCTGTATATTTATCTAATGATGATCGACTTTGATGCGCTTCAGAGCCGCCGCCGCTGTGCCGGTATAAACTGTTATGATTGATGGGATCAAATAATGAAACACTGAGGTCCTTTGGAGTTCAGCTCAGGTTCTGCAGTAAATTTGGTTTTTGACTGATGAAGAGATTAGTGATCACAAAACATTGGTACTGATAGAAATATAGCCTGACAGGATTCTTTTCTATAAAATTGTTTTCACTCTTAGACTGCCAACTACATTTCAATCTGACAAAAAAAAAAAACAAACAAACAAAAAAAAGGTACACATAATTATTTTATTTATTTTATTTGTAATGTAACAGCTGGATTCAAAGCAATCCAAAAACTAATTACACCCTAAACCTAATTTCTGGTTTTGAGTGTTTGACATCGCAGAGGAAGATTTTGATCCACTGTGTTTCTCAGACTTTATTTAATCCACAAACATTGAAGGGCTGCAAAGAAAAACATCTATTAAAGTTAGGCACCAATAAACAAGATGTCCAACAGCCTTGGTGCCATGAGGAAGGTTCTGCTCCTCTGTCATTATTCTGGTCAACCTATAGAAACCAGCAGCTTTAGTAGTAAGAAGATGAGATGAATCATCTGGAGCCTGGCTGTTTAGTGCTTTGTTTATTCACATGAAAACAAAACTCAAAAAATATATCCGTATTCAGTAGAAAGAATAAAACCTTAGGGGCTTTTTTGCTGAAACCTGTCAGTAGTCTGGCTGCATTATTATTTATGACAAAACCTCCAAAGATTTTATTTTTCCAAAGCAGTAAACATTTCATTAATCTGAATATGAGAAAATGTATTGATTATTGTCTCCAGTTCAGCGGAGACCCGATATCACAGTCTAGAAAGGATCCTGAAAAGTTACGCTGGACTGAGAAGTTGGACGAACAGAACCAAAAGCTGGACTGATATTGGTATTTACTTCAAAAGGAGATTTGATCACTATCTATATCTGGTTGGTGTTTAAAACATGATAATTGCTGGAAAGCGATTATTAATCTAAGATAAACAGCAGACTAGGATGGACATCCTTTCCAGCTGATGAGACTTAAAAGACATGAAGATCATCTTCTGGGTCAGCAGAGGTTCTGGTGCTTTGTGTACAAAGACACAAAAGCACAAATATTGTGGCATTATATTTCAAATACAAAGCCGGAATATGAAAAAATGAAAGCTGTCTTAAATTGTGCGATAGTTCATGTAAAGTGTTTAGTATTAAAAATATGTGTCAGAAACTGAAATCCTTTCAATCAAAGAATAAACTTTAAAGCATCAAAACCTCCTAAATACACTGAAATGTGACTCCATTCAGTTTAATTTAACAATCAAACTTATTATTCAGGGTTTCATTATTTAGTATCAGTTGGATGTAAATCATGAACATCTTGGTCTGTAAATGCACAGAAATCCATGAATATTCTCAAAGAAAGATTTTCATTCTAACTGATGGTGGGTCAGCAGATTAAATTCAAATAAGTGAAGCGTGACAGTTTATCAGATGGACAATCACATGTTTCCATAAACAGCTGCGTAAATGATTATGGAGGGATGGCAGCTTTGGCACTGCTGGAGGACATTGCTAATGGGAGAATGCAGAAGCAGTGTGTTTGTTCAGAGATCCTACTGACCCGCTGATACATTATAATGCATGACTTATTGGACTGAGCAGCGTCACAGAGGGTCACTACCAGAAAACGCTGCAACGGGAGTTTTTGAAGCTGGTTGACAGGTTCGGTATTTTACAATCATCGCTGAGCTGTTCCATGGCCGCCATAAGAGGTGACCTCATCTGTTTCTTTCTCAGCTATTAAACAGATTATATTTTGAACTTGAATACACAAAACTGCAAATTGAGGCAGCAAGCTGATTTCAAAATGTAATCAGAGCTATGACTGTCCTCGCACTTCTATAAATAAATAAATATAACTTTATATTAGACAATCAAGTAAAAAAAAAACACATTAAAACAATGTGTAATATTTCATATATATTTGTGTTAAATGTATAATTTAGCGTTTATGTTAAAAGGGCCCTGCTTTTATAATTCTGCTTTTGTAACCAGAGCACATGTTAAATGGATATCTGTGAACCTATTTCAGATGCGAAAAAGACTTTAATCAGACTCTCTGCTTGGTGGCTGAAATCAGTTGTTATTTTTAATCATTTATTTATTCTTTGTGACGTCCTGAATGGCTTTAAACATTAGTTGTACTTTGCATAGTTTGTGTAGTGACTTGATTCCCATAGGAACTTTGAATCATGTTTTCATGAATTATAATGATTTTTAAACATTACAATAACTGAGCTAAATGCAGCAGACAGAACAGTTTGGACTTGTTGTGGAAACCTTTGGGTGTTTATACTGACTAGCAGAGAGAGTGTTGGAGTTTGTGGTCAGTTCAATGCAAACTGGGATGTATAACGGTAAAGTGTGCAATGACTCTGATAAATATGCAGATTTTCTCCAGATTCCAATCTTGTACTATGAATTCAACGCAGTCTTTTGCATATAAAGCCTCTGGTCTTGGAACCATCCTAGGGAAGTAATTTTTGTCCTTTCTCTCTTTTCCTTCTGGTTGAATTGTGACCTCTGACCTTAGCTGAGACATTGAGGCCTGCAGATCTTTAGATGTTCTGGGTTCTTCTGGAACTCCTGGAAGAGTCAAAACTTGATGTGTTGCTGTTTGAGATCTTTTATGAAATAATAAGACCTGAAATCATCTCTTTCAAAAAAAAAAAACTTTAGTATTTACTCTGATTAAGGTGAATGCTGCTGACTGTGTGTCTGTGCTCCTTGTTGCTGCTGTCTTCAGCTAAAAAGGTGAAGCCGCCTGAGGTGACCGTGTGCCCGGTGAAAACAGAACCCAGTGAGGAGGGAAAGACCGCTCTGATGTGTCTGGCCTCAGACATGTTTCCTCCTGTGGTGCAGATCTCCTGGAAAAGACAGGAGAAGAACAGCCAACAGGAGCAGCAGCCCCCTGCTGAGGAGAGACAGGTGGAGGTCAGCGGGTCTCAACGCTCTGCCATGGTCCGGATGGTTAATGATGAGAATCTCTACAATTATAAATACATCTGCGAAGTTAAGCATGAGGGCGGCAACGTGAGGAACCAAACATGGATCCAAGGTATGAAAAGCAGAAGATAAGTTCAGCAGAGATTCAGCTTCAGATGAAGACTGGAACATTTCACACTATGGTTGAGTTGTTGGACTTCTTTGTCTTCCAGAACCTAAAGATCTTCCACCTTCAACAGCAGCAGCTCCCACTCATCCACCAGCAGCTTCTAATCGCCCTCAGCTCCCAGTGAAGCCATCAGTGTCCTTCCAGTCTCAGTGCAGGGTGAAGCTGCTCCTCCTGCTCTACACAGTGCTGATAGTGAAGAGTCTGGTGTACTGCTGTGGACTCTCTCTGCTGATGAGCCTCAGAACCAAGGGACCGTCCACCAACTGAACACATGCTGACTCACTGCTTTCTCACCAACTTTCAGCAAATCTTGGCAACTTATCATTTTTATCCCCATCAATACAAGTCATCAGGGTCAAAGTGTAAAAGTTAAAATTGATTTAATGTTGCTTGATTTTAATATTTCTGCCAAGTAATTTCTGTATTTGATAGTATAACCTAAATAGTTCTGAGTGGATTAGGATAAAAATACCAGACCATCTGAATTGGGACAAAGACCAGATGATTAGATTCTGGTGCTAATGTGAACCATCTTCTGGATTTCATTGAGGTCTCAGCTCTCTGTCTGCTTTTTGTAATTTCAGCTGATTTATTTTTGCATTTTATTTTTAATACTATGCAAACACACTGTTTTGTACGTTCTTTTTATTCTGCAGTTTATTAAACAAAATATCCATCTTGTGAAAATGTCTAATTTTTATATCAGCAAAATTTAATTCATGTAAATTTATTTAAATGAAGAAAAGAATAAAATATTTCCAGCATCAACATGTCTCTCATTAATAGAGAGTAAATGTAAAGTATCAGTAAACAGTGTTGGTGATCCAGCAGGTCCAGCTGTTTGTCCTCTGATTCGTCCTCTGGCATGGGAGCTGCCTTGGAGCTCGTCTGCCTGGCTGTGTGTTTCCTGGACGGGGCCGCCTTTTACAGCTGCTTTTTGTGTCTCTGCTTCTGTCTCCTTGAACCCCAGTCAGCCTCGGCAGATGGCCGCTCACACTGAGCCTGGTTCTGCTGGAGGTTTCTTCCTGTTAAAAGGGAGTTTTTCCTCTCCACTGTCGCTACAAGCATGCTTAGTGTGGGGGATTGTATTTGAGTCAATGCAATCAACTGGTTTTCCTTAGATAGAAAACTTTGTATCAATTTGACTGTATGATCTGGTTGAACTGTAAAGTGCCTTGAGATGACATGTGTTGTGAATTTGGCGCTATATAAATAAACTGAATTGAATTGAATTGAATTGATCATTTAGTTTGGCTCTGAATCGTCTCACAGTCAGAAAGTCAAACTCTACGCTGCTGACTCTGTTGTTTCAATTTCATTTCAATTTAGATAATTTCTATAGCGCCAATTCAAAATACGTCATCTCAAGGCACTTTACAATTAAACCAGATCATCCAGTCAAATCGATTCTTTTCTATCTTAAAAATAGATTTCTATCTAAGGAAAATCAGTTGATAGCATCGACTCATTGACTCGAAGGCAATCCCACTAAGCATGCTTGTAGCGACAGTGGAGAGGAAAAACTCCCTTTTAACAGGGAGAAACCTCCAGCAGAACCAGACTCAGTGTGAGCGGCCATCTGCCTCGGCTGACTGGGGTTCAAGGAGACAGAAGCAGAGATACAGAAAGAGGCAGAGACACAAAAGCCAACTGTAAACCAGCTCCACAGGTGGCCCCGTCCAGGCAGCCTGGCAGACGAGCTTCGAGCAAGCTCACATGTTAGGGGATGAAGAGAGCACATCCAGCCAGTCACAGTCAGAGAAACAGGACTACTCTGAAAAACAGGCTGATCTTGAACATCTATAAACACGGCTGTTGATGGCAGCAGCACAGCTGATATTTCTCTCCAGGATGGAGTCACAGCCAAACAGGAACAGACCAGATGAAGCTACTATTAGAAAAAGCAGAGAGAGTAGAACGTTAGAGATTGAACTAACAGATTCTGCAGAGTGGGAGAATAGAGATAGAATGAAGCAGAATGATGAAAAAGGGGTCCCTATGTCCTCCAGCAGTCTAATCCTATAGCAGCATAACTATAGAGCAGGGATGTCAAAGTTAAATAAACAGAAGGCCAAGAAAACAAGTTTGCTACAAGTCGAGGGCCAGACGGGTAAATGTTTATTAAAACAAATTGAAACGAACATAGCCTACTGAACCAAGACCTAATACATTGTTTTAAAAAAAGAAACTAAAATAATATTTCAATTTCAATTCAGTTTATTTATATAGCGTCAATTCACAATGCAAGTCATCTCAAGGCACTTTACAGTTCAACTAGATCATACAGTCAAATTGATTCAAATATCAATATTATTATTAAACTTTTAATATATTAAAAAACGTATTAAGATAAATACATAACTGAAAGTGCATGCATTATAAACTGAAAATGCATTAGTGTGCTGCTTTATGATCCTACCGAACACTGCTTTCAAATAGTAAGAAAAAAAAAAAAAAAAAAAAATCAGTTGTATTCTCTCTCATGGCTCTTATCTGCATTTTTCTGCATTATCTGCATTACACAAAAAAATATGAATAGATAAAATAAAATACAAAATCTATTGCACCTAGACAAAACAACACTTCCTTCAAAAAAAAAAAAAAATCACATCTTCTACCAAGAAATGTAAAGAATTTGTGATGAATCACAGCAGCAGACCCAGAATTCAGCCAGAGGTTCTTTAAAAAAGGAGATGATTATACAAAAAGCAGAGCAATACCAAAAAGGACCGAAGGATCAAGAAAGACTACAGGTGTCAGCAGAGGCTGATTGAAGCCAAAATAAAAGGAGCCTGGATGGAAGAAGAGGGGAGCTGATCCTGCAGGTGGGATCCGAACACCAGGCACAGAATACCAGGAAGTGAACAGATGCACAGTCAGGGAAGAGGTCATCGCCTGTAAGTAGCGCTCCGTCTCCATCAGAGTATCGTGTGGATCCCACCTGCCCCTCACTCGGCAGCAGTGTTGGGCACGTTACTTTAAAAAAAGTAATTAGTTATAGTTACTAGTAACTTCTCACAAAAAGTAACTGAGTTACTAACTGAGTTACTCCACAATAAAAGTAACTAGTTACTAGTAAAAGTAACTATTACGTTACTTTTGCGTTTCTCGCCCCCGTAACCCTCACCACCCAGCCCCCACCTTCTCGCCGTGCGTTTCAAAAGCCAGCTGAATAGAGCGGACGACAAAGACAAGAACCTGCAGAGAGTTTTGGATTTATTGCAACTCAACGTAAATGACATCAGGGGGGAACGCTATCTGGCGGGCCTATAAACCCCGTCAGATAGCGTTACCCCTGCTTAACATGGGTAAATATCATCAGGCTGAATTACCTCTACTCATGGGTGTGAAGTTTTTTAACAGTGTGTTCAGATCCATCCCGATTTCCCCCTTTCTCCATATAGGCTAAACTTTTATTCGTTCACGCTCTACGTAGTTCCCCCGTGGCGCGAGCACAGGGCGGCTTTTACGCGCCTTTAGCAAGCATGCGCGTTTCCTGTCATTTGCATGGTGAATTGTGCCGCCTGCGCTGTGCGGAGATGCAGGGGAAACCGTATCTGATGGGGAAACGCAGCTCGACATAAAACCGGTATTTCTGGAAAACGCTGTTTTGCTGCTGGAGTCCTCCTCACTCTCCATCAGACATGGGCAATGTGGAGTCAACAAGTCATCTCCATGTCATGTATTGGTTCTACCCAACTACTGAAGCAGGTGAGTCCAATCTTCACCGTGAATTAACCTGTGTAGATTGGACTCACCTGGGTAGATTAAATACATGACATGGAGATGACTTGTTGACTCCACATTGCCCATGTCTGCTCTCCATCTTCTCTGTGTGTGCTGAACGTTAACACCCACCAGCAGAAACACCCACCTACCCAACTGACAGATGGAATCTCACTATACATCAGCTAATCTCATCCTCCCCTCTCTCATGACAAGGCGCACACGAGTCCTATCATGAAAAAAAGGTTCATTGTGCAACCTGTGTAACGTGCAATAAAGGGGTGTCGGCAATGGTAACTGTGTTATAGTAACAGTCAAAGTAATTAGTTAGATTACTCATTACTAAAAAAAGGTAAAGGCGCTAGTAACGTTACTTTCAAGTAGCAGTTAGTGCACTTTTTAGCCAAGTGTGCTTGGATTGTTAAAGGAGGAAAAGAAAAAAACCACAACAATCCAAACATTCAAAGCGCAACAAAAAAAAAAAGAAAAGAAAAACACAATCATGTTTCCCCACACTGCAACAGTAGCCTACGAAGTCACAGCAGCGCGCACAAGCGGCTGTGGCCTGTGGGCCGGTTCTAATGGTAATTGGATATCATCCAGGGGGCCGTGGATAAACAATTCGTGGGCCGGATCTGGGCTTTGACTTTGATATATGTGCTATAGAAGTAGCTCAGGATAACCTGAGCCACTATAACTATAAGCTTTATCAAAAAGTTTTAAGCCTAGCCTTAAAAGTAGACAGGGTGTCTGCCTCACGGACTAAAACTGGTAGTTGGTTCCACAGGAGAGTTTCCACACATGAACAAACAACTGCTTCAAAGCTCCAGCTGCTAAAACCAAACATCCAGAGGTTTGAACAGTCAGACTAATGTCTGAATGTTGGCTCCATGATGGCTGAGTTCATCAGGAGAACTGAAGTAGTTCGATGAGCTGGAGCTCAGTGAGTCGGTGGGATTGACCAGGAGAACACTGAAAATCAATGATGACGGTCGTCTGATTGGATTCCTGAGCAGATTCACTTATGTACATTTAGGTCCATTCATATTTGGAGAGAAACAACATTTTCCTAATAAGTTTTCTGTACATTAACAGAAAAAAATATTGAACGACAACATTCAGAAGCAGTTGAAGTTCTGACCTTCAGCCTTTATCCAGTAGGTCAAACAAAATCATTGCATAAAAATGTGAAACTGAATTAATTAATATGAAATTCATTAATGTGAAACTGAATTTAAACACATATTTTATTCCAGGGGATTAGAAGTAATTCAAAAAGTAAAATTATGCAAACAGAAAAGTCAAATTTTTATGCCCTGTAATAAATCCTTTGTTTTTAATGAATTACCAAAGTTTTGAGCTCAGGGGTGTTTAATGCAGCAGTTTTCAGTTGCTGTTTAATGTAGTCTTCCCATCTGATGTTTTGTCTTTAACAAGTGAAATTGATGCTCATTAGGGTTACAAATGACTTGGTCCTTCCAGAATATCCTACTTCTTTGTCTCGTTAAACTCCTTGGTTGCTTTGAACCTGTGTTTTGAGTCTTTGTTCATTTGTATAATTAAACACCAACTAATGAGTTAGGCTTTCTTTGGCTTGATTTGAGCACACAGTATGTCTGAATACCTCAGATTTAATCTGGCTGCTTCTGTGCTGTTTCCCATCATCAGTAACCTTTAAGTCAACTGGCCAAATACTCTCCACATTTTAAGGAGCTGAAATTCCTATAACTTTAATAAAATTTTAATTAGGATGGCTTCCAATGAAAACTGGAAGCCGGGACTTTAACCCATGCCCATTATGCAACTATTAATTGAAAATGTTTCTTTAAACAGGTTAAAAAAGACATAATTGTGTTTGTGTCCAAATATATATGGACCTAACTGTACAATCACCTTTCATGTTGATTTGAATAAAAACAAATAAAATGTTTCCAGGAAGCAGAAACAAACCACAGAGATGGAGGCAGATGATGAGTTTGTAGAGCAGCAGATATGAATCTGTTCTCAGTGGTTATTAGAACAGAACAAACTGCTGACAGCCAATCAAAGCTCCTTTCCTGCTGCTGTGTGGGTTTGTGCTCTGCAGCCTCCACACCGTTAGCTGTGGCTTTTCACTTTAATAACACAATGACAGTTACAAGCATGGACTGAGCTGAAAGAATGATCACAGGAAGCAGCTGTGTTCTTCATCTGAGAGAGAAACAGCTCAAACCCTGAACTCAGAGCTGATCAATCACCTCTGATCAGACTGAAAACAGCTCAGTCTGTTTAATGATGCTAATTCATTCTAACAATCAGCATTAAAACTTTCTTAATTATTAAAAAAACTAAACTAGCTCCTATATTTTGACCAGCCTTTTCTGTATTTCTCGACAACTACATAAGCAGAGACATCAGTTTACAGGAACAAACAAAGCAGTCGATTCTCCTTCTGTTCTCACTGATCACAGAAACACAAACCACACTGAGTCAGAAGCACAAACCACAGAAACAAACAAGGCAGGTAGTTTAGTTCCTCTGAAGACGTGAACAGGACCAGATGTCCATGCTGCTTTAGCATCTCATTATTTCATTGGCTGATAAAAACCTCATGCAGAACCTTTAGAGGAGTCTAGACAATCAGAAACCAGAAACCGACTTTAATTTAGTTCAGTTCAAACTGATTCTGTCTCTGTGGAACTGCTTTCCACTGGTTTCCAGTATTGTTAGTTGTTCAGATTGTCTCATGTTAAATGGAGTCCCACAGAGCTCAGTTCTTGATCCTGTTATCTGTCATTTTATCTCTGTGTTTTCACATTGTTCCAATAATGACTCAGTTCTATGAATCATTAAATCTTAACATCAGAACCTTTTTGGTTTTCTTCACCTCTGCCTTCCTCCCATTAACAACATGGTCACTTCCCTGATTCCATAAACTAAACTCAGATCAGACTGAAGTCTCTTCCTTTGGACGTGATTGTTCTTCTTCTGACTTGTGCTCTCAGGAGAAAATGTTGCAGAGGTGAAAAAAAGACCAAGAAGAGACGTTGGATCAAATCATGAAGGATTCCTGTTTGAAAGAGGAAAGGAGAACATACTAAAAATGTTGTGTCATTCAGCTGAAATGGCCCCGTGTATTATTCAGAAAACAACGTACTCTTCTAAGCCCTCCTCAGAACCCTTGATTTGAAGCTTCAGCTGAATTTTCTAACAGCTTTTGGACTTTTTTATTGAAAGGTTTCAGCCACAGTAGCCTGTATTATAACCCCTGACTCTAACCCTTTTGTCTCAGCCATTTGCTCTGCTGCAGTTTTAGCCTTTAACCTTCTTAGAAGATGTGGTGAGGCTTCTTAAAGGAATAGTACACCCAAAACATGATTAGCCTTCATTTTCTACTCACCTCCATGCTGAACAACACTCTGGAGTACTTTTTTGATATCTCAAATGCATCTGGAGATCTGGGAGACTTCTTGCTGTCTGCTGACATTCAAATAATGGAGGTCTATGGCGCCCGAGACAGAAAGGTCCACAAAAGTCCACAAAAACTTGTCAATATTCCTCCATACTGCTCGTCCAATGTAATCCAAGTGTCCTGAGTGGGTAGCATCCAGAATTTACTCGAAACGAAGTCATTTAGAACGTTTTAGAGCCTAAACAGTAGTGTATAGGATTTCCTAATAGCGCCCCCATGCGCGCTCACGATTCTACGGAAGCCGGCAGACCAAACCAGCGCATTCAGCTCGGCAAAGAACTCATGCTCTTCCTCAACACTGAAGTCCTCAGACATTTTTCTTTCGTTGTTTCAGTCTTTGCACAGGTAAACAGCACATTTCTTCTTCTACGCTTGCATTATCGGCAGACCAGACGCTGAATGCGCACTTCCTTCCGGTTTGGTCTGCCGGCTTCCGTAGAATCGTGAGCGCGCATGGGGGCGCTATTAGGAAATCCTATACACTACTGTTTATGCTCTAAAAACATTCTAAATTACTTCGTTTCGAGTAAATTCTGGATGCTACCCACTCAGGACACTTGGATTACATTGGACGAGCAGTATGGAGGAATATTGACACGTTTTTGTGGACTTTTATGGACCTTTCTGTCTCGGGCGCCATGGACCTCCATTATTTGAATGTCAGCAGACAGCAAGAAGCCTCCCAGATCTCCAGATGCATTTGAGATATCAAAAAAGTACTCCAGAGTGTTGTTCAGCATGGAGGTGAGTAGAAAATGAAGGCTAATCATGTTTTGGGTGTACTATTCCTTTAAGTCATCATTTTAACCCTCCGCCACTTGTTAAAGAATATTGCAGTCTTTCACAATGTGTGCTTAAACATGCAGTAGTGCAACCTCTTTTTAAGAAACCTGGTCTCTTTCAGTACTGGCTGATTAAAGAACTATTTATAAACTGGCATCTTTTGTTAAGAGTTTTTAAAAGGAGTTGGCTGTCCACTGCAAACTTTCTTGGATGAAAATGACATTCTAGAAAGCTCTCAGTCTGCTGTTAAACCTCATTATAGTACCAAATCAGCATTTTTAGGAGTTTATATCTTTTTGGCTTGTGATTCTGGTGACCTTACTGTTTTTTTCTGCTTGACCTAAGAGCACCTCCTGACGCTGCGCACCATGATATTTTAAATCAGGTCTCATTTATTTAGTGGAATATCCAGGACATCCCTCTTCATTGGTTTTCAGTTCAATTCATTTCAATTCAGTGTATTTATATAGCGCCAATTAACAACACATGTCTTGCATCTCACTCGTTGCTTGGGCCGAGTTGGTGCAGCTGTTCCGCAGACAGCGCTTAAAATGTCGCCTGTATAAGGGACCAACATCAGCAGAAAGATGAAGACACCCACCTGATGATAGCTGACACCAGCTTTGGTCTGTTTGGTTAACTATTTGTAGAACAAACACTGTCTAGATCAGAACAGGGGAGAACATCATGCTGTGAGGGTAGTAATGATTGTCATGTTTAGTTTCTACTTTTCAAAGTACTGTAGAACAAAATTCAGACTGAGGGAAATCCATCGATCTCTGTTTAGTTGACTGGATTAGTTAGTTGAATATTTTTTTTCCCCACGACAATAACCTTTCCTGGCATAGCTTTCTACATATTTTCATCTCTACCTCAGAGATTATCCAGAAAACTCAGAGGAGGCCCAACCTTCTCTGTTGCTGCTCCTCTGATGTGGAATAACCTCCTCCTGCACATTAAGGGCACCATTATTGAATACTTTTAAAACTTGCTTAAAACCAACTTTTATTCTTTGCAACATCAATTGACTGTGTTTGTCATAACAGTTTTTATTGTTTAATCTTGTATTGTTTGTATGTCTTAATATACGTGCTGCAGTATTTTTTCAGCTGTGTTTCTTTAATTGATAAACAAAGTTAGAATGGTAATAGAATCAGTCAGATCTACACCACAAAAAGGCAGCAAACAGATCAAAAGGAAAATTTGCAGATTGTTCTGATCCGTAGCAGAACTTTAACCAAAACATTAAAGTTCTTATTTATTCCTGTGGTTTAAACTATTTTTTCTACATATTTTACAGAAGACCTGCAATGGATTAGCCACCAGTTCAGGGTGTACCCTGCCTTATGGCTAACCTACAGCCTATAGACTGCTGGAGACAGGAAGCAGCTCCACTGTGACCCTGAGAGATCTAGAGGAACATGATGGATGGATGGATGGATGGATGGATGGATGGATGGATGGATGGATGGATGGATGGATGGATGGATGGATGGATGGATGGAAGGATGGATGGATGGATGGATGGATGGATGGATGGATGGATGGATGGATGGATGGATGGATGGATGGATGGATGGATGGATGGATGGATGGATGGATGGATGGATGGATGGATGCTACAGAAGATTATGATTAATATTTAAAATCAGATTTTTCATGATATCGGTCATAAGTCCAGCATTTGCAAAAATATAATGAGCAACATGTGAGTAAATCATTTTATTGGCTGCTTCAAAAACCATCAATTTAATTTATGTAATTTTTTATTGTTTTAATAAAAATATGAATGATTCCCAACATAGCTGAGTTACAGTTAAAACATGACTGTTCTGCTTCTGTTTGAGAAGCAACAAAGAAGTCTAAAAAGGATAAAAACAAAAAATAATGAAGCAATGAATATAATACAAATTATACTGCTTGGCAGAAACATATCAACACATCTTTGTGCAAAAAACACAAATTCTTTAAGCGTACTAAAGAGCACAGGTGAGAATTATAGAATAATCAAAGAAGGCAGAAATATTACAATCAAGCAACATTAAATCAATTTTAATTTCTACAGTTTGACCCTGATGACTTGTGTTTATAGAGATAAAAATGATAAATTGCTGAGATGTGCTGAAAGTTGGTGAGAAAGCAGTGAGTCGCATGTGTTCAGTTGGTGGACGGTCCCTTGGTTCTGAGGCTCATCAGCAGAGAGAGTCCACAGCAGTACACCAGACTCTTCACTATCAGCACTGTGTAGAGCAGGAGGAGCAGCTTCACTTGATTCTTGAACATCAGAATCCAGGGCCCAACCTCTGAAACAGAAAAGGAGTCAAATGTTTGGAGTTGCAGAGAGAAATGTCCGTCCTCTGCTCCTCTGCTCTCTTTGACAGCGTCTCCACATGAAGCTGAATCTCTGCTGAACACAGTCACCAAGCCTTCATTACCTTGTTGTGTTTGGGCCTCCACTCTTCCCCCCTCATGCTGGACAGAGCAGTGGTATTTATAGGGGATGACAGGGTCCCCATCCACCAGTAAGATGGAGGTGGTGCGTCCCGGCTCTCTGAGCTCCAGCTGCTCTCCCTCAGCAGGGAGCAGATCCTCCAGATCACCGTCCTTCTTCTGTCTTTTCCAGGAGATCTTGACCTCAGGAGGAAACATGCCTGAGGCCAGACACAGCAGGGAGCTCTTCCCCTCCAGGTGGGCTCTGGATGCTGCTGGGTACACGGTCACCACGGGCTCCTTCAGCTGCTCCTCTGAAGCTTGACAGCAGCAACAAGCAGCACAGACACACATTCACACAGTCAGCAGCAGCTTCCAGCACTGCACTGCATTCAGTCTGATCCTGGAAACTACATGGACTCTGATCACTAAACTACTCATCAATGCAGCACAAAGTTCCCTGCAGACACTGGATCCACCTTCACATCAAACACCAACTCATGGCAGCTTCAGCAGAGCTGATTCTTTGGAAGGAGCTCTGCTCTAACTGGAGGACATTTCTGGCTCCTCTCCCACCTCCAGTTACTTCACTGGATGAAGAAAACATGTTGGAAGCAGAAATGCTCCAGACACAGAGACACACCTACAGCTGATGTTAAAGTCAGACTTCTTCTCCACAATCTTCATGGTTCTGATGTTATTTTCTATCTGCTGAGCCTGCTGGGCCTCATGGAGCTCAGCTGAATAGACAGGAACCAGTAGATATCCTCACTGGAAGGACTTTGGACTGTTCTGGCCTGAACTGGGCTCCAGTGGGGAGCCTGGTTTAGTTCTGCTTGTTTCAAATATTTCAAAGGAAGTTAACTGTTTAATGGGTGAAAAACCTGAAAAAATATTGTTCTTCAAACTTTATAAAGATTCAATAAAACTTTTGTGGCCCCTCAGTATTTTAAAATTGAGATTCTTGGCCCCAATGGCAGGAAGTTTAAAACGGCTGCTTTAGACAATAAAAGCCTTTAAAAAGGTATAAAACTGACGCTTTATTAAGCCCACACTTCTTTATTAAAATGTTTTAACTGGTAAGAATGTTTTTTTTATTAATTCTTTAAAATACCTGAATGCTCAGATAATTTTATATTTCTTTTTTAAGGTTTTTCCAGCACTGGTGGCTCATTTTCTTTGTACAGTGGGCTGACAGGAAAGGGGGTACGAGAGAGGAGGAGAGACATGCAGCAAAGGTCGGGTCGGCCACGTCCAGGACTAAGGCCTCCGTACATGGGTCGTGCGTGCTAACCACTGTGCCACCGAATCACGCCAATTTTATATTTCTATCTTTCTGATTTCATCGTTTCACAAATTAAATCAGAGGTTTGGGAAGAACTTTGGAGGCCGCTGCTTTAGACAATAACAGCCTTTAAGCAGGAATTAAACAGACGCTTTATTAAGCCCACATTTCTCTATTAACATATTTTTATTGTTAAGATAATTTTTATAATTTTATTCAAATTACGAGAATTTCAGATCATTTAAAATTTCTGTCTGATTCTATAATCTCAACAAAATGAATTCAGAGGTTCATTTCTTTGTGACTCTACCCTCCTCTGAGCTTCACTAACATCATCAATAAATCAGCAGAAAATGGAAAATGACATCTTTAACCAATTTTCTTTATTTCATTTTCATAGTGAAATTTACCAATAAATAGATTAATAGATAAAACTTTTCATGCTCAAACCACAAAAACTGTAGAATTGATGTTTCGCATTAATTCTGCTAAAACGCTGCAGCTATCTGATATTTATGTCACTTTAAACATTTTGTTGATTTCAAAATTTATATTTTCATATGTTTTATTTTCTAATAGTTACCAAACTTTTCTGTTTTTTATAAAAGTAGATTATAAATGAAAACACCATCTTAATCATTTAGCAGTTTTTCATGTATCAAATATCTTAACTGTAATATTTCTGTGGAACATTTTTTCTCTATCAGACAGAAAGCAGACAGAGCAAAGGAAGCTCTGCAGTAAACGGGCCAGGCTCCGAGTTCTGACCCAGAACAGCTGCATCAAGGAGCAACAGTGTGAGAACATGGAGCAGCTGCTCTACCCACTGATCCACCCTGCAGCCACACTGAACACTGGTTAAAACTAGGAGGGAAAATCATTGGATTCATGGCAGGAAAATGTTTCTGTTGCTCCACTCTGAACTTAAAACCAGGCTCAGAAACTTTGGAGCTTTGAACTCATTGAAACATATTTACATCTCTGCTGATCAGAAAACATTGAGGGTTTATTACCAGGTTTACTTTACAACCTTTGGAAGTTAAATGTTGGATTTATTCACATAGATTTTTAATCCTTTTCTAAATAAATTATATTTTATTTGATGCATTTTCAGCAGATTAAACAGGATTATTAAAATGATCAAATAATTAGTTTAAAATCCTGAAGCAGCAGAAAGTGACTTTAAACACATTTTAACTTCAACAATCAGACAATAAATGTTGGTTCTTACCTGTTACATACAGTTTGGTTCCTGAACCAAAAAATCCATTCCACCCTCACAGTGAGAAAGACTGCTACAAAAACCTGTCTGCTGTTTTCTGCTCTGATTATTTTCAGTTTTTCTCTCTCAGCTACATGTAACACTGAGGTTTAGCAGTTAGTGAATCTATAAAGAATATTTTACAGTAATTAGACTTTTATCAACACTATTAGCAGATATTACAGGGTTAGAGTTACTGAAAGGTTTCAGATATTATTCTCCAATATCTGTAAAAATATCAACATTTATTTTCTAAAGTTGTTCAGAGACTTTTTAACATGTTTTCCATCAATTATTGATATTTTCATGATGAATTCTCTCCTAATGATAAAAACTAACATGTAAATCTTGAAGCAGCAGAAAGTGACTTTAAACACATTTAACTTCTACAATCAAACAATAAATGTTGGTTCTTACCTGTTCCATCCAGTTTGGTTCCAGAACCAAAGATGTGGTTCCAGTATCCTCCACACAGTGAGAAAGACTGCTAGAAAAGCTGTCTGCTGCTGAATGGGTCAGCTGAGGTGAAGCGGTCCAAATGATGAAGTAGGATCAGGTTTCAGCTCCATGATGTGTTTCTCTAATGTTCACATCAACATGACTGTCTCTTCTTCTCTTTTCTTTTAGCCGCACTAGCAGCATGGTTCTGGTGTTGGTGTCAGTCAGTGGGTCGCTCCAATACTTTAGTCCACATGGACTGGATCTGGGAGTTAGTTCAGATCTTCATGTTGTCCTCAGGATCAACTGGAATCAAGTTTGCTGCTTCTTCATGATTGGATGCAGATTTCAAAAGTGTCTGAATGAGAACAGAACAGTCCTGTAATCTGAGCTGATGTTCAGCAGATCATAGCTGAACTGTCTTGGAGAAGCTGCTCTGAGCTCCTGTCTGGATCCTTGGCAGAACCATCAGAAATGTGAATCTCTGAAGATCCAAAGTAGGTCTGAAGGAAGCTCTGCAGACATCATGTATGAAAGCTCTCATCTATCCCAGTGTGTTTCCTTGTCTGTTGGGACGTCGTCTTGCTGAAAGTCTTCAGTGTGTTCAGTCTGAGCTGCAGCTGCTGAAATCTCCTGTGATCATGAACGCTGCATGGTGGTCTGTGGTTTCCTGGATGCTGATGGTGTCATGAAGCAGAGTGAGAGCTGAGTCTGAGTTGGGAACCATCCTGAGTTCTTTGATCAAACTACCAATGAATGATCATCAACTAACAATGCAGGTCAGGTCTGCCAGATGTGGGATTTAGACTAGTTTACAAAAACACTTCACTGTTCATGTAGAAATAAACACTGATTAGAGATTCATTAACAATCTGACTTCCTATCAGTAAATGTGATTCTGATTTATCTACCAGTACAGATTTTAACTATTGGAGTAAAATCAGCATAAAAGCTTCTAGAATGACCAAAAACACCAACTTTCAGCTGATAGAAAACAAAATCCTTCATAGAAAACTAATCAGGACAAAGGATGTTCCAGATGGGTTTCTGACTTAGCATCACATGTCCAAACAGCATGGAGATCTAGCTGATGAATATCTATGTTCTCTGGTTCTGTCCAGCTGTCTTTGACTTCTGGCTAAAACTATGTGAAGACTGATCAACATGCCTAGAATATACAGGAACAATCTGCCTTCTTGGTGACATCACAGAGTGGATTAGTAAACTAATAGATACCAAAACTCTTCCTGCAGTTTTTAGCTCTGCAATAAACATCAAACTAATGAAACAGAATAAAATCAGTTTAAATGTTGTATATTTAGTGCTGTGGTGTTTCCTTGTCTTGTTGCTATGGTAACCAGCCATCAGGGTGACGGCCGAGGGCAGCTAGGGTCTACCAAGATAGAGGATGGCAGGCGTGGTGATGTCACATCTGGATCTGGTGACTCAGTTACCAACAAACATTGTCTGCAGCATTAGCTAGAAGCCCCTCTAGGTCCCACTGATAATAATATTAGTGTGTGAATCAGAGTGACGGTTTCCAAAGGCCAACACAGCACAGCTGATCAGAGTCATGGTGACTTCCAGCTCCGCTACCAGCAGCTGCTGGACACAGTTTCTGTTAGAGAGAAATGTTTCGAGACTGAAAGGATGAAATTTATTTGTATTTTAACCTGATTTTAAATCATGTTTAGAGTATTTTCCTCATGTTGATTCCCTGTCTTGGCCAACAAGCTCTGGCCTTGTTTGTGTGTTAGAGGGATCAGCTGATCGGCCTCCAACACTGTGGTGTGTTTGGAAAGAGGAATGAAATCCAACAGGAGCTCAGAAGGAAAAGTTGAGGATCAGAGCAGGAAGAAGGTGGCGGCTGGTGAGGAGGAGGTATAGACCATAACTTTATTATTATGGAGAATGTTTGATCTCTGCTTAATGAGAATAACTAGTATTAGCCTCTCATAGAGAGTCACTGTGTGTTTCAGGAGGCTTCAATGATTGGTTTACAGAGACGTGGCTCCGCCCCATTCTGGACTCTACCAGGAGACTAACCAGCTTTCATGGATATAATTAGGGGGGGTTGAGGTGATCAGTACAGGACAACGCTGAAGAAGAAAAGGGTCCAAAATAACATCAGGAAGGTGTGAAATGAGTTGAAGAGCATCACTAATGTTGGACCAAAGACAACAGCAGAGATGGACTGGTTCTAATTCTTTACTATCAGGAAGTCCACAAACTGTAGTTAAAAGCCTTCAGCTGATCCAAAATGCTGCAGCCAGAGTTCTGATGAAAATGAAAAAGAGAGATCATATCTCTCCTATCCTGGCTTCTCTTCATTGGCTTCCTGTTAAATCCAGAATAGAATTTAAAATCCTCCTTCTCACATATAAAGCCTTAAATGGCCAAGCTCCATCTTATATCAGAGATCTGATTGTTCCTTATGTTCCTATCAGAGCACTTCGCTCTCAATCTGCAGGTTTACTAGTGGTTCCTAGAATTTCTAAAAGTAGAATGGGAGGCAGATCTTTTAGTTATCAGGCTCCTCTCCTGTGGAACCAACTACCAGTTTTAGTCCGTGAGGCAGACACCCTGTCTACTTTTAAGGCTAGGCTTAAAACTTTCCTTTTTGATAAAGCTTATAGTTAGACTGGCTCAGGTTATCCTGAGCTATCTCTATAGTTATGCTGCTATAGGCTTAGACTGCTGGAGGACATAGGGACCCCTATTTCATCATTCTGCTTGATTCTATCTCTATTCTCCTATTCTGCAGAATCTGTTAGTTCAATCTCTAACCTTCTGCTCTCTCTGCTTTTCCTTAGAGTAGCTTTGCCTCGTCTGTTCCTGTTTGGCTGTGACTCCATCCTGGAGAGAAATATCAGCTCCAAATCAGCAGACATGCACTTTTCAGCATAACACTGGACCGCGGTCCGCTAATCTGTGGCCTCTGCATTAAACCGAAGCCAAGAGTAACGAGTAACGTTTGTTTTAAAAATGTAAGGAATAGAAAGTACAGATACTGGTGTGAAAATGTAATGAGTAGAAGTCAGAAGTAGGAAGAAAAATAAGTAATGGAGTAAAGTATAGATACCTAAAAAGTGTACTTAAGTACAGTAACAAAGTATTTGTACTTCATTACTTGACACCTCTGCTTATCCTGTAACTGTTACAATACAAATAAAATCATTAATTGTGAAATAAATACAATAAAATAAATAAATAATAAAAGATTAGAAGACTAAAGGATTTCCCTGATCTCAGTGAGTCTCTGAGATGGAGGTGAAACCAGTGAACCTGGGCTGTGGTTTACTGCTCTCTTCTTGTCACAAACAATGTTTGACATCTGTTCATCTGGAGGTTTTTGTTCAGGCTGCAGGGATCATTTCTCACTGTGGGAACCAGACTTCCAGCAGCCGCAGTAGTAGGAGGCTGAATGATCGACTTTAACATGATTTAACTTTAGTGTACAGCTTTTCTGATTTCTCTCAGCTGAGAAATCATTTTGCTGAGGATGATTGAAATGTTTCTGTGTGCTACCACTACTGGTTATAAAAAGAATTGGTCTGAATGTTTCTGATTCGTTCTTCTGGTACCAGGTTACAACATAACCACCACACTGATCAGTCCCACAGCTGAAGGAGACGCTGTCACCGACTCTCCTGGTCAGAGTTAAATCCTCCTGACTCAGCTGTGTTGTCATGGCAGCCAGCGCTGTAGAGACACAGACAGACAGATGAAGGTTAGTGGGACAGTGTTTGTTCCAGGTGGACTTTGTTGGCTCCTGATTGGCTGGAAACACTCACCTGAACACAGACAGCACAGAGCAGCAGCTGGGAGGAAAAGCATTTTGTGCAGTGGTGTTTCCTCTGGTGAACCTGGGGAGAAGTGGCGCTCTGATGCAGCTGAGGCCAAACAAGGACGAGCTGCTAGATCAGACGAGGGCCACGTGGTTTCTAACAGCTCCTCAAAGCTCCCATCAGCCCCTGCAGCCCACAGATCAGACTGCTGCTGCTGATTGACAGCTCAGCTCCAGCTGCTGGATGGTTTCATCGTCTGGATTTGAATCTGACAGCAGATGGAAAAAATCTGCCTCACATGATGCAGAAACACTAAAAAACATTCATCTTCCCACAAACACATTCAGCTTGGAGCTGAATTTAGGAACACAGACTGTTATCTGTTATTGGACTGGAAATGATGGAAACAACCTGAAGATGGCGCTGCTGTGCTGCTTTAGAGACACAATAAAGAAGCTGAAATGTTTTGGTTTCCAGATGTTTTATTGACAGTCTCCAGTCTGACCATCAACACCATCAAACATACTGGGACACATCAGCTAAGAAGTTGGTTTGTGATTGGAAATGAGAGCAGCATCACCCAAAGGAGAATCAGACCATGTTTAACTGGGATTATTATTATAGACATGAAGAATAATCTCAGTTTTTATTCCCATTCTGACTAAAAATGTTCTGTTAAAATGATTCACAGCCTCTGAATAATCAGAGGAAAAGCCTTTAGTGGCAGAACAGCAATCAAAGCGTTTTAGAGGCTGAATTCTTTTCCATCTTTAAACAGACTGCAGTTATTAATTAATACTATTTCTATCTAGACTGAATAAATTGATGTTTAGCAATATTTCTCTGAACACTGAGATGATTTCAAAGGAAATGAATTGAACTGTGAGAAGCTTTCAAATCACTAGCAGGCAGCACAGCAGGCTCCAACAAAGCCTGATCTCCTTGTTAAACACTGATAGAAAGTTCTGGTTCGGTCCACCTTCCTTCTCCACTGTAGCTGCATTAGAAACCTTAATGTTCCCAAATAGCAGAACTTAGTGATCGCTGGCAGTCCTCTCTGATTGGTTAATAAGAAGAACTGAAATCATCACCTTAAAGCTGATTTTTATCTTTATTCTGTTTATTAAAATGTGTTTGATGATCTGAACTATTTCTGTGTAACAAAAAGCAGAACCAGTCTGTAAGGGGGTGAATACTTTTCCCAGCTCTGTAGCTTCCAGGATCAGAGTGAATCCAGAGCAGAGCTGGAAGCTGCTGCTGACTGTGTGTCTGTGCTGCTTGTTGCTGCTGTCTTCAGGTAAAAAGAGCTGAAGAAGCCTGAGGTGACCGTGTGCCCGGTGAAAACAGAACCCAGTGAGGAGGGAAAGACCGCTCTGATGTGTCTGGCCTCAGACATGTTTCCTCCTGTGGTCCAGATCTCCTGGAAAAGACAGGAGAAGAACAGCCAACAGGAGCAGCGGCCCCCTGCTGAGGAGAGACAGGTGGAGGTCAGCGGGTCACAAAGCTCTGCCATGGTCCGGATGGTTAATGATGAGACTCTCTACAATTATGAAGACATCTGTGAAGTTAAGCATGAGGGCGGCAACGTGAGGAACCAAACATGGATCCAAGGTATGAAAAGCAGAAGATAAGTTGAGCAGAGATTCAGCTTCAGATGAAGACTGGAACATTTCACACTATGATTGAGTTGTTGGACTTCTTTGTCTTCCAGATCCTTCCACTCCTCCACCAGCAGAGAAACTCAGGAGTCAAGAGAAAAAGTTCACTTTTATTTCACAGATCACTGAATTGTTGAGCTCAGGTCCAGGAGGTGAGGTCTGAGAACAGGAGGTCAGGAACAAAACTGAAGAGAGGAAGATGATGGTGAGTCAAAGGAAGGATTGATGTGGAGTTAATCTTGTCAGAGGAAGTGAGCTTAGTGGAGAAAATGGCACCAAGGAAGAATGGTTGGATCCAAATGATCAGGTGTGTGCAGAGGCAGCAGAGTCTCAATCCAATAGCGCCCTCTAGTGGCCACCAACTGCTAGAAGAAAGAAAAAACAACCAAACACAAACTAACCTGGATCTTAACAAGGAGGTTCTGTTTTTGTCAGCGTTTGTTTGTCCGTCTGTCTGTTAGCAATAGAACTCAGATAGTTCTGGATGGATTTGGATCAAATGTTCAGACCAGGTGTGAATTAGGACAAAGAACAGAAGATTAGATTCTGGTGCTGATGTGAACCATCCTCTGGATTTGGTGGAGGTCTGAGCTCTCTGTCTGCTTTTATAGTTGCAGTTAATTTCTTCTTGTTTTTCTATAGTTAATAAACTTTAAATAATGAGTGCTGCAGGTTTTCATTATTCACTCAGTAATATTTCACTCAACAATATCCTTCTTGTGTAAATATAAATAATGTAAATATAATTAAATAGAAATAAACATATTCTCCAACATCAAGATGTTTCTTATTAATAGAAAGTAAAAAGCCTCAGTCCCCCTGTGAACATCCAGGGGCAGGACATAGTGACTGTGGAGAGTTTCAGACACCTGGGTGTTCACCTCAACAATAAACTGAACTGGACCCATAACACCGACGCCCTGCAGAAGAAGGGCCAGAGCCGCCTCCACCTCCTGAGGAGACTGAGGTCCTTTGGAGTGAGCCAGCCTCTGCTTCAGACCTCCTATGACTCTGTGGTAGCCTCAGCTCTCCTCTACACTGTCGTCTGCTGGGCCCCTGGCAGCACAGAGCGGGACAGGAAGAAACTGAACAAGCTGGTCAGGAGGGCCACTTCTGTCCTGGGCTGCGCTCTGGACTCTGTGGAGGAGGTGGCTGAGAGGAGGGTGCTGGTGAAGCTCCCATCCATCATGGACACCACCTTCCACCCTCTGCAGCAGACTGTAGAGGAGCTGAGCAGCTCCTTTAGTGGCAGACTTAGACACCCCGTGGAAGAAGGAGCATCACAGCAGGTCGTTCATCCCTGCTGCCATCAGACTCTACAATACCACTGAGAAATAAGCTTCTATAATAACTACTGTGAAATAACTCTGTACAATAAGAGCCTGAATTTATTTACTAAAACCTGCAACTAGAGTCACTTTGCACTGTTTACACTTTATCACAATACTAAAAACAATTAATACCAATATACTGTATTTATACTGCAACAGATCATACCTCAATGTTTATAAAATCATTTTATTGCAAATAGAACGCCTCAAATCCAAATCTTTATTTATTACCTATTCATTGTTTATATATTTTTGTTTGTTTTAGCCTGACTTTGTACAATTACATCTTTGATTCACCTTTTCCTTCTTTTGCACCTCCTGTTGTTTATTAGAGCTGCTTTAAAAAGTGATTTTCTCCTTTGTGAGATCAATAAAGTCCTATCTTATCTCTCTTCCCTTCAAATGTATTTAAACCAGCTGAACATTCCTTCCTGCTATGCCTTCTATGGCCACCAGGTGGCAGGAGATCATTGAAAATGTAGGTCTTCATTAGGATATTAGAAAAACAAATATCATTCAAGTCCTGTTTGGTTTATGTTTTTTGGGTGAAGTAAAGAAGATAAGTTAGTTCTCTCTGTTAATCATTTTATTTATATACATATTAGACAAAACCTGCTGAGTAACACTTCAAATCATTGATTAATAGTAATTAATTGAATAGAGGTTTTTTAAATGTGAGACATGTGGCCTAAGTTATTCAATTCACCTTCAATTTATTTATATAGTGCCAATTCACCACGTCATCCATTCAAATTGATTCAAAGTTTTATATCTAAGGATAACCAGTTGATTGAATGGACTCACTGACTCAAAGGCAATCCCTCACACTAAGCATGCTTGTAGCGACAGTGGAGAGGAAAAACTTCCTTTTAACAGGAAGGAACCTCCAGCAGAACCAGGCTCAGTGTGAGCAGCCATCTGCCGAGGCCGACTGGGGTTCAAGGAGACAGAAGCAGAGATAGAAAAAGCAGCTGTAAAAGGCGGCCCCGTCCAGGAAACACACAGCCAGGCAGACGAGCTCCGAGTCAGCTCCCATCTCAGAGGATGAAGAGAGCACATCCAGCCAGTCACAGTCAGAGAAAAAGGAGAAAAAGGATCTACAGCATCTATAAACAAAGGTGTTGATGGAAGCAGCACAGCTGATATTTCTCTCCAGGATGGAGTCACAGCCAAACAGGAACAGACCAGATGAAGCTACTATGAGAAAAAGCAGAGAGAGCAGAACGTTAGAGATTGAACTAACAGATTCTGCAGAGTGGGAGAACAGAGATAGAATGAAACAGAATGATGAAATAGGGGTCCCTATGTCCTCCAGAGGTCTAAGACTATAGCAGCATAACTATAGAGATAGCTCAGGATAACCTGAGCCACTCTAACTACAAGCTTTATCAAAAAGGAAAGTTTTAAGCCTAGCCTTAAAAGTAGACAGGGTGTCTGCCTCACAGACTAAAACTGGTAGTTGGTTCCACAGGAGAGGAGCCTGATAACTAAAACATCTGCCTCCCATTCTACTTTTAGAAATTCTAGGAACCACTAGTAAACCTGCAGATTGAGAGCGAAGTGCTCTGTTAGGAACATAAGGAACAATCAGATCTCTGATATCAGATGGAGCTTGGCCATTTAAGGCTTTATATGTGAGAAGGAGGATTTTAAATTCTATTCTGGATTTAACAGGAAGCCAATGAAGAGAAGCCAGGATAGGAGAGATATGATCTCTCTTTTTCATTTTCATCAGAACTCTGGCTGCAGCATTTTGGATCAGCTGAAGGCTTTTAACTACAGTTTGTGGACTTCCTGATAGTAAAGAATTACAATAGTCCAGCCTTGAAGTTACAAATGCATGGACTAGTTTCTCAGCATCAATCCTGGACAGGAGATTTCTAATTTTTTGCAATATTCCGCCCCTGTGCTTGCTGTTTGATTTAAAGGAACATACATTTCCCTGTATTTTTTTTTCTTTTCTCCACTAATGTTCAATCAGTAGTTCTCCTCCACAAGCTCCTGTTTTATTGATCATCCACAGGATATTTTGCAACAAAAAGTACATTTTCATTTCAGATTGGTTGGTTAAAGAACCCTTAATGGAAATTTCTTAGATTAATAAACATCATCTGAGATCAAATAAAATATGCAAAGAGTCCCTCAGCCCATAAATTCAGTTAATCAAGATCAGATGCTTAAATTCATCACAATCCCCTTACCTTTCCAACGGAAATAGAAATATTTATGACAAACATAATAAATGTACAGTTTGATCATTAATCTGTCAGAAAAACCTCTTACATTCAATTATTAGGAATAAGGACCTTATATAGAAAAATACCACATTTAGTAAGTTATCCTCAATAATTCATAATTCATTAGACATTTCATCCCAGTGCTGTGTGTCCCGAGCCCGTAACTTTATCTATGACCCCTCACCCCCCCACCATGGACTGTTCTCTCTGCTGCCCTCTGGGAAGAGGCTTTGCAGCATTCAATGCAGGACAAGCAGATTCCCAAACAGCTTCTTCCCCACCGCCATCAGGTAGCTGAACTGTTGAGAAAACTCTAAATCATGTCACACCAACAACACCAAACCAAAACACTACATATTTAATGCTCTAAACTTCGAGATCAATGTTGTTTTTATCAGCAACTTTTTTCTCCCACACTGTTTACATTTGATCACTGCCGCACTTTAACAAATGGAAATGTCATAAAGCTGAACAAAGGAGCGTGCAGGTGGGGCAGTGGTAGGTGAGCACAGAACATGTCAGGGTTGTGCGGTTCGAATCCTACCTGTGGTCCTTTGCCGCATATCTCTCCCCCTCTCTCATATCCCCTTTCCTGTCAGCCTACTGTCAGAAAAACAAGCCACTAGTCCCATAAAAAAACTGTACAAAGAGAGATTTCATTATGTAAACACAAAATGACAATAAAAGTTATCTAAGTGTATTTTTCTATCCTTTCCTCATTTAAGGTGTTTTGTACGCAGCTCATATTTCTGTTTGAAATCCACTCATTTATTGTGAAAATAAGGTTAAAACAAGTCAGCTTCAGAGAACCTGAGTGGGTTACTTTGTGGTCATTTGTTACTTTGTGAGGAATTTATACGAATACATTTAAAAACACCAGTACTTAAAACTTGATTAAAACTTGAAACTTGACATAATAGAAATGATTTCTGCGTTATTTCAGTTGAAAGGGGAAGCAAAGTGTTCTCTTGACATCTATAATGTTTTCATAAGTTCATTTTAAGTAACAACTGCCTTTGTTTTGAGGTTGTTTTACCTATTTTCTAACCGCCTATTAATTCAACATCCAAGACGACTAAATCAAAGTAAATATAGCATCTAATTGAGTGAAGTCCAGTTCAAAACTTCTATGTAGAGGTAGATGGATTCTAAAAAGATTCAAACCTAAAACTAGACTCCAGTCGTTGTAGTGCAGGTTGTTTCACCCTTCATTCTAAAAGCTTCCTCAACTTTTCTAAGGACCAAAATGATCCTACTTTGGATAGAAGAGGAGTGAAGAAAGACACACATAGTTGTCTTTTATCATTTTTATTTTGAACTCAACAACAGATTAGATTGAATGATCTAAATGACTTATTATAAACTCTGATCCTGTGAAGATCAGCCACTGAATCAAACTATAAAAATACAGCATTGTATAACAACAAAACCAACATGATAAAAACCCTCCAGTCCAGAAGATGACGTCCCAACAGAAAACTTGAGGTCAGAACTTTAACAACCAATCAGAGCTCTGAACGGAGCTGATGGAGTCCCTGGATGGAAACTAACAAACAAAACATTAAACAAAAGCCTTTTGTTAATACAGAAACATGAGAAAACTATTCTTAACATGTGACAGGAATGTGGTTTCACTCAGGATGGAACAGAGCAGAAAAACCTCCATCTAAGGCTGAACTTTTCCCCGACAGCATCTCCGTTTCTCATGAGCTTTCACCCCCCTCCCTGTGGGAAAGCTTTTCTCACATGTCTGACATGGGTGGAGCTTCCCAGCTGTTCTCAGGTGGGCGGCGGCTCCTCCTTTATCATGGGAACCTGAGTGAGTTACTTGGTTTAGAAGCTCGTTTCTCTGAATAAACTTTTCCCCACACCTTTTACAGGAGATGAGTTTCTTTCCTTTGTGCCTTTTCATATTGGCTTTCTTGCCTGAGCGAAAACAAAACCTTTTCTTACAGAGCCGACAGCAGAACGGTTTCACGCGTCTTCTCTGGTGGATTTTCATGTGACGTTTGAGTGAAGGAGGGCTGCTGAAATGTTTCCAACAAGTTTCACAGACGGGCTGCTCCTGGTGGAGTCGCTTATTATGGGATTTTAAAGAAGCAAGCTGAGCGAAGCCTCGTCTGCATGCGTTACAGAAGAACTTCTTCTTTCTGCTTTTGAGTGTGGTACTGTACCGAGCTTCCGGATGCTTAGTCTGGTGAGCATCCGAGTGGTCTCTCATCAGACGGGAACATTCCACTGAAAGTTCTATGCAGTGTCTGCAGACGTATGGCTTCACGCCTGGATGCTGATTCAAATCTGGAGAATTCCCCACCACGCCACACACAGAACACTTAATAAAGTCCTGAGTGTGAGATGGATCTTCCTGCTCAGTGTTTGGTTCTGCATTAAACCAGAAATGTTCCGGAAAGGTGAAGCCTTCAAGGTTTTCTACCTCCCAACGTTGAAAAGGTTCTTGTCCATAGATTTCCTGGTTCCTCCAATCAGAACCTGGGTTCAAACCCGGGTAGAACCCCTGCAGTTCAATATAACTGTGAGAATCCTCAGGAGAGTTCTGGTAGTAAAGCAGTTCAGGTTCTGCTTTGGACCAGTCATGTTCCTGACAAGTTCTGATCAATAGTTCTTCCTCCCAACTGCAGCAGAACTTCCTCAGCTCCTGTCCAATAAGTGCAGGTTCTGGTTCCTCTTGGATCATTTCAGAATCTGGACTCACACATGAGTAAAAACTTTTCAGCTCAATGAAACTCTTCTGCTCCTCAGGCAGGTTCTGAAGGTTCAGCTGCTTAGAGTCTGGTTCTGCTGTTAGCCCGTCATATTTCTGAGAGGTTCTGGTCCAAAGTTCTTCTCCTGCCCAACTTCTGTGGAGTTCCTTCTGGTCCTGACCAACAGGAGGATGTTTTGGTTCCATGGTAATCTGTCCAGGATCTGGAGTCAGAAGCTCAATAGAACTGTGCTGAGGTTCAGAAGAGTTCTGGAAGTGGAGCTTCTTAGGGTCTGGTTCCGATGGGCCGATTGGTTCTGATGGACTGATTGGTTCTGATGAACTTGTTGGTTCTGATGGACTGAAGATATTTTGACAGTAAGTCAGCGGGTCCATAAAGGTGTCGGTCTTACAGGTCGATAACAACTGATGTAGCTGCTGACCGCTTTGGGTGAGGAAGGTCAGCAGCTGTGGCTCCTCAGATCCAACCTTTGGAGGTTCTGGTTCCTGCTGTTCATCTCTAATCTGTGGAGGTTCTGGTTCCTGCTGTTCATCTCTAATCTGTGGAGGTTCTGGTTCCTGCTGTTCATCTCTAATCTGTAGAGGTTCTGGTTCCTGCTGTTCATCTCTAATCTGTAGAGGTTCTGGTTCCTGCTGTTCATCTCTAATCTGTGGAGGTTCTAGTTCCTGCTGTTCATCTCTAATCTGTGGAGGTTCTAGTTCCTGCTGTTCATCTCTAATCTGTGGAGGTTCTGGTTCCTGCTGTTCATCTCTAATCTGTGGAGGTTCTGGTTCCTGCTGTTCATCTCTAATCTGTGGAGGTTCTGGTTCCTGCTGTTCATCTCTAATCTGTGGAGGTTCTGGTTCCTGCTGTTCATCTCTAATCTGTGGAGGTTCTGGTTCCTGCTGTTCATCTCTAATCTGTGGAGGTTCTGGTTCCTGCTGTTCATCTCTAATCTGTGGAGGTTCTGGTTCCTGCTGTTCATCTCTAATCTGTGGAGGTTCTAGTTCCTGCTGTTCATCTCTAATCTGTGGAGGTTCTGGTTCCTGCTGTTCATCTCTAATCTGTGGAGGTTCTGGTTCCTGCTGTTCATCTCTAATCTGTGGAGGTTCTGGTTCCTGCTGTTCATCTCTAATCTGTGGAGGTTCTGGTTCCTGCTGTTCATCTCTAATCTGTGGAAGTTCTGGTTCCTGCTGTTCATCTCTAATCTGTAGAGGTTCTGGTTCCTGCTGTCCATCTCTAATCTGTGGAGGTTCTAGTTCCTGCTGTTCATCTCTAATCTGTGGAGGTTCTGGTTCCTGCTGTTCATCTCTAATCTGTGGAAGTTCTGGTTCCTGCTGTTCATCTCTAATCTGTAAAGGTTCTGGTTCCTGCTGTTCATCTCTAATCTGTGGAGGTTCTGGTTCCTGCTGTTCATCTCTAATCTGTGGAGGTTCTGGTTCCTGCTGTTCATCTCTAATCTGTGGAGGTTCTGGTTCCTGCTGTTCATCTCTAATCTGTGGAGGTTCTAGTTCCTGCTCTTCATCTCTAATCTGATGAGGTTCTGGTTCCTGATGTTCGTCTTTAATCTGTGGAGGTTCTGATTCCATCTGTTCATCTCTAATCTGTGGAGGTTCTAGTTCCTGCTGTTCGTCTCTGATCTGATGAGGTTCTGGTTCCTGATGTTCGTCTTTAATCTGTGGAGGTTCTGATTCCATCTGTTCGTCTTTAATCTGTGGAGGTTCTGGTTCCTGCTTTTCATCTCTAATCTGTGGAGGTTCTAGTTCCTGCTGTTCGTCTCTAATCTGATGAGGTTCTGGTTCCTGATGTTCATCTTTAATATGTGGAGGTTCTGATTCCATCTGTTCATCTCTAACCTGATGTGGTTCTGGTTCCTGATGTTCGTCTTTAATCTGTGGAGGTTCTGGTTCTGGTCGGTTCTTCTGGATCTCCTGCTCCTTACAGCTATGTTGCTTTGAGAGTTCTGGAAGGATAAAGGACAGAATCACTAGAGCTCATTAGCTTTTTAGTTCAACTATTCTCTTCATTACCCTTCATCCCTCCTCTATGCTACTAAGGTTCCAGCATTTTGCTGAAGGACAATAAACTGATTTATCTAAGGTTCCTCATCATCAGACAATTTCTAATTTTAGAATCAGTTCATTTATCTCCCTTGCTAGGTAAGAATATTTTTAGTTTCTTGTATGAACCAATCACAGCTCTTAGAATACAAACTGACACCTACCAATGGGGTCAACAACACCATTACAATCAGGTAGGAATTTCTGTGGCCTCTTTGCTCTCAGTGACTCTCTCAACGCAGGGTCTGCAACTTTGAAAAATCCAAAGGCCCATTTTTCCCCGAGTCCAGCTAAGTTCAAATGATTTAGAGCCACATATATAACTTGACCTTTAAATCAAAAACAACTTAGTATTTCAACAGATCTTCTACAGCAAATCTGTTGCAATTTCAAACAATATAAAGTTTGTTTCTGATTTTGAGTTTTTAAGATGAGGAAAAACATGAAGATTTTCATAAAGATAAAGAAAGGGTTTTCTCCTACTGGATATCATTTGATGTAAAATAAAAAAAGCCAAAATGCACGTGCTGCTTCATTTTTGATGCTTGTACAAGTTTAGTTCTGACGCGCGGCTAAAGTATCTTTGCTGGGGTGGAAAAAGTTGGTCTGATGCGCGTTGGGCGGAGCGACCCTATCCTTTCTCTACCTGTAACAATGGTGGATGAAATTGAGAGTCGCTTGGCATATTTGAATGAATAATGCTACAATCAGGCTGCAAGCACTGGAAGCAGCTAAAATAGATTTTTGCTACTTCCATATATTTGCTATTTTTATATATTTATTTTATTATAAGTTGGTAAAAAGTAGTTTTAATATGTTTTTAAGTGATAAAGTTCACCTGAAAACATCTTCTGTGCAGTCAGTTCATCCAGATTACCATCCTGACTTAATATATGGTTTCGCTGTCAGAGCCGCTCAGACCCCCGTACACCGGCGGCGTTCTGTCCCTGAAAATCCCGTTCTAGAGGCCTCTGGGCCAGTCGGCTCTTCGCTGTGTTCCGCTACCGTCCGTGGCAGCTGAAAGGCGTTTTTCATGTACATAATCCAAACTGCAGGCACCAGGATAATAAAATAGAACATATTTTGCCAGCAGGTTTCTACATTTTAAGTTAATTTAGGCGTTAATAAACTGTTTCAGAGGAGTGATCATAGCGCTCTGCATCAGCAGTGCTGCGTCTGTCTACCTGCCAGACGCGCGCTTGTGACATCATTATGTCCACCTACTGCACCTGCGGGAAACTTACGTTGTATAGATTAATTTCACACAGGAGATCACATACAAGTCGCATATATTTGGAAATGTCAACAGCAACTAAAAAAAATTGAATTTCACAAAAAAATGTTAATTGAGCATTAAGGCCTCTAGTGTGAACATAGCATTGCAACCTGAAGTGACCCAAATTCCATTTGTTTTGCACATATGCGACCTCTATCTGATCTTTTCATAGCAGTCTGAACAACAATCAGATTTTTTTCCAATGTGACCCAGGCCACTTGGCTAAGTGGTCAGGAATGCGATACGATCAGATCTTTTGAAATACGACCCCGAGTCTGCCAGGTCACTTTCATCCGACCTGTACGCCATTAATACCGGACAAAGGTCAATATTCTGCGTCTTGCTATGCAGAAGCGGTAAGAAAAACTACAAACATGGCGGTTAATGCAGAGATTAGCATTTATGTTCAACCATCTTGAAAAGATGTGTTTTTAAGGTTGGGAAAGATGGCTAGATGCGCTCCAATTCATTGTATTTTAAAATATTCTTTAAAAACTCACAACTCACCGCTCTCTCAGTGGTAAAACAGGTCAAGCTCTGTTAGTGAACTAAGCTCCCAGATTCTCCTCTAACCACTCCTTGCTCTCGTCCTTCATAGAACCAGATCGGACGCTCACCAGGATCAGGTCCGTTTCCTCAATCTCCTTGATGCTCTGGAACTGTCTCCTATCCAGTGACTCCTTACAGGAACAATCAGCCTGCCTGTCCACTCTCAATCCAACACAAGACCATCCTCTGGAAAAGGATCCAAACTCAGACTCTCTCTCTCCCTGTTTCTGTCTAAGTTGACTGAGCTCTTCTCCGTTTAACCAGGAAATAAACTGTTAAATCTGCCTCTGTGTCTGCAGTAGTCACTTGCTTAGAGTCTGGTCTAGCACCATGTCAACATGTCGATGGGTGAAAGCATGCTTCAGAGTGCTTCAGCACACTCATAACTTTTACAAACTGACCCATAACTTATCGAACGTATACCAGGGTTTTTGCCAGATTTTTGGTACATCAGTCATACACTGGCTAAAGCATCAAGGTGTGACAGGGGCTTTACCTCCAGCACAGATAGATGGCTTCTCTTCCCAGCTCCAGCACTGTCTGCGTGGGCAAGTTTCATCGATCCTCCCTGGTAATGCTTTCATCTCTGCTTTCGCCTCTAGACACTAGCTCTCCTAGCTGTCTCCCTGGCTGGCTTCTCCGATGTACCACTATCCTGCTGTTGGGATCCTCAGGCTTGCCCACCAGAGGGCGCCGAGGATCCTCTTCTGCTCTCTTTGTCTTTTCCTTAGGGCTGGAGTCACTGTCAGGTTCTGGAGATTACCCTCTGCCTCCAGCAGAGTGCGCCGTGGGTCCTCCTGAGCTGAGCCTCTCACACACCTGTGGCTGATCTACTAATCAGGAGGACCACAGTATTTAAGCTGCCTTCAGACCTGGATTCCACGCCGCAGTGTTGATCTTAGTTGGTTAGCTTCCTGAACCTTCTGCTATTGACTGAGTCTTGGTTGTTCCTAGGTCGAGACCAGATTCTAACATCTCTTATCTCTGCCTCACAGGGATCCTGCCTCTTCGTGAAAGCTCTGGATGAGCTTAACCTCCTGTCTCCTCGTGAAGCTCTGGAAGAGCTTAACCTCCTGTCCCTTCGTGAAGCTCTGGATGAGCTTAACCTCCTGTCTCCTCGTGAAGCTCTGGAAGAGCTTAACCTCCTGTCCCTTCGTGAAGCTCTGGTAGAGCTGTCTCCCTGGCAACCTGTCTCCGGTCTGCAGCTCTGGGAGAGCTGTATCACAGGAAACCAGTCTCAAGCCTGAAGCTCTTGGAAAACCTAACCTGCTAAGCTGCCCTGGTGAGCCAACCCGAAGATTCCCACATGGTTGAAACCTGACGACCCCTATGTGGAGTTTCCCTAGAGGTTCCCATGTGGATTTCCCGTGTCTTCCCTGTTGTTCTCTGAGTTGAGCTGGAAGCTCAGATCCTCCCAAAGATTCCTACGTGGTTGAAACCTGACGACCCCTATGTGGAGTTTCCCTAGAGGTTCCCATGTGGATTTCCCGTGTCTTCCCTGTTGTTCTCTGAGTTGAGCTGGAAGCTCAGATCTTAGTTAGCTTTGCTAAGCTAACAGCTAGAGGCTTAGCCCCTCATGAACTCTGAAACCAACCATCTCCATTTCCCTGCTCGGACCCCAGTGAACCAGCCCCCCCCCGGACTGAACTGTACCTGTTCATTTCATTGTGCTTGTGCCTTAAATAAACTCTTTGGACTTTTACCAGTGCCTCCGTGTGTGTTCTGTATCTTGGGCTTACTCTCTGTGACACCCATCATGACAGAACACTGCGGCCAAACACAAAGCCCAGCAGATCACCTCCGTCGTAGCTCTGAGAAACAGGACGCTCCTACTCCTGATCACACTCTGTCCCTCCGTGAGTTAAAATCCCCGTTTGACTCAAAAAAAAACACTTGTTTCAAGATCCCACAAGCTTCGTGGGAATCACAAGATGGCGCCAGTTCAACTTCCGGTTCCGGATTCGTCACTTCCGGAATTCCGTCCGTCACCTCCGAGTCAAGATGATAACCCTCCTTTCTGGTCTGAACTAATCCCATCGTTTTCGTCACCCGGTCCTCCTCTACCTGAGAGATTTTCTGGCGACCCAAGTAAGTTCAAGGGATTTTTATTTCAGTGTCGGTTATTTTTGGTTTTCACGCTTCTAATTTTCGTTCTGATAAGGATAGGTTAGCCTTTATTATTTCCTTTCTGTCTGGTGAAGCCCTCGAATGGGCGGTGACCAAATTTCAGCTTAAAACCAGAACAAACTGCACATATGAAAGATTCATCCGAGAGTTAGAAAAAACCTTTACTCAGTCCTCTAGTTTCTCCGTTTCTAGTTGCCTTCTGAATTCTAAACAGGGTAATAGGTCCATAGCTGAATTTTCTTCTGAGTTTCTGAGTAGAGCAGCCGTTTCCGGGTGGAACGAGTCTGCACTCAAGTCAGCTTTCCTCGTAGCTTTAAATGAATCTGTCAGAACCGAGCTTTCCTTTTACGTCGAGCCACCTAGCCTCGAAGACCTCATTGAACTAGCCATAGGATTAGATCTAGCATCTCAAACCAGTTTCAACTCCTCTCCGCACCGGTTTAGCCTTAGTTCGCATGTTCTTGATCACCATTTAAGTCCATCCGTTAAGAACCTCAAAATTAGTCCACCAGTTTTTCGTCCATCAGTCAGTGTTCCACGCCAGCCAAATTCTGATCCTGAACTAGTAGTTAACCCGGATAGTTTCAAACCTGACCCCGTGCCTGATCCCTTAGCTTCCGATCATGTTATTCATTCAGGTACCCTCACGTTTCAACCGGTTCATTTATCGCAAGATCCAATCAGTGAACCCGTCAGTTTAACTTCTAAGACCCACCGATGTAAGAGACGCCGTCGCCGTAAGCATGCTCCGAGCCGGCTAGAGACCCCTGAGTTAGCCCTGTGCCGTCCAGTGACTCCAGAGTTAGCCCTGTGCCGTCCAGTGACTCCAGAGTTGGCCCTGTGCCGTCCAGTGACTCCAGAGTTAGCCCTGTGCCGTCCAGTGACTCCAGAGTTGGCCCTGTGCCGTCCAGAGACCCCTGAGCCTACACTGTGCCGTCCAGAGACCCTTGA